TCCTACTCCTACTCCTACTCCTACTCCTACTACTACTACTACTACTACTACTACTACTACTACTACTAGTACTACTACTACTCCTACTCCTACTCCTACTACTACTACTACTACTACTACTACTAGTAGTAGTGAAAAAAACTACTACTACGACTACTACTACTACTACTACTACTACTACTACTGCTACTACAGTACTACTACTACTACTACTACTACTACTACTACTACCACTCCTACTACTACAACTACAACTACAACTACAACTACAACAACTACTACAACTACTTCTACTACTCCTACTACTACCACCACGACTACTACTACTACTACTACTACTACTACTTCTGCTACTTCTACGACGACCATTGCCACTGCAGAGTACCTCGAGAGGCCTTGTTTTCGTTTGTTCTGTGGTTTCACGACCTGCTGATTTGAGCTGGAGTTCCGCCCTCTTGCCTACATGATACATATCGACAGACCAACTCACAGGCTAGCGTACTGTATATTTATGAGTAGACAGTTATGCGGACAGATAGACATAGACGGAGACAGAACAGTAGGAGACTGTGATGTGCATACGGTTTGCCTGCCGCTGCCTTCAACAAGGCTACCGCCCAGAACCCGGGGCGCATGACATGGTGTAAGGCATCACAGGGGCATCCCAAGATTCCAGCCGGTCTGCACGCATTCAGGTTGAACACCGGACAAGCATTACACACAGAGACATCATCCCTCCGTTCAGCATCAGCCAAGAACCGAACCTGAAATACCGCACGACTTTTGCAAGGGCTTTGGTTCATGCAGGGTTCAGTGTAAATCCAAACCTCAAAGCAAAGAGCTAGGTCAGTGTGCCCGGCAATCCTGAAATAGCGGTAGCCGAGCTTCGCAGAGCACCTTCGCTTTGCGTGGCCTTGTTTTCACGGTGGCGACGCCCAGCCCGCAGCTCAGAAGATGCCGTGCCTGGCCGCATAAGGTGGTGGCTGCCGGCTGCCACACTCGCAGCGGGGTTCTGCAAGTGACATTCCAGGGTTCAACTGCAGTGTCTGCAGAGTCGGGTTTCTGGTGTCTTCCGGTTGTTCGATTTCACAGGGATTCATGCCATTCAGCACTTGAACCAAACGGCCGTTTTGATGGAGGCCTACTCACGAAGACCACGCTCATTTGGAGGAAGCTTACACTTTGCGAGTGTTGAGCAAGACCTGCGTGTGCTTGAGTGCCTAATAAACAGTCACGTGCCGGCCCAAACCCATTCGCCGCACTAGTCCTCTTTGCTAAAAGTCGGGGACAGACATTGACTATCATGGTCTTAAGCATGTCATAAAACTAGACTCGGCCAATAGCTAGTCTCCCTATCAGCTGATTTGCGCGACCACTGGGGCAAGGGTCAGTTTTTCGTGCAGTGAGCCGAGCTTGACCGAGCCATGTCAACTGGCGACCAGCCACCCTCCGAAACGAAAATGGCGATTGCAACTTTTTCCATGGGCCCCTTGGCACTCGGAATGGTGAATGTGTTTGTAAGTCTGACCGCCTTCGGGTTTTGAGTTGTCAACTAAAGCCTTTTGTAATCTCGGCGCGCCAACGACCTCAGCCATGCGTTGGGTATGTCATGTTCGACTGCCTCTATGCCCCACGCTTGTGTTTGCAAGGATGATTCTGGGCGCCGCAACAGCGTTTCGCACAGCTGCCAGGTGTCCTCAAGGCCACAGCAGGGACCCTCGGCTGAAACGACATCGCTATTTGTGGTCATGTCAGGACCGTCGGGTGACTGACCCTTAACGCTGCCAGAACCAACAAAGTTCTGGTTGAGGACGTCAATGTTCGTAAGTTCAAAAGAAGTTGAAGCCAAGGTACACCGGCGGCCGGTCCCAGTCTCAGCATGAACAAGCTACCCTTCTCCTTCGAAGTAATTGAAGGGTTTGAGAGTTGATTGCTTGGGTGGTGGTTGCCACAAGGGTTACTATAAGGGCTTTTGCTTGAGAAGGAAACGGAGTCCGAGTGTTTGGCGGGCCGTGGCGTTTTACGACTATATGGGTTGAATGAATGGCGCCTGTCTCAGGGTCGCCGGGCTTCTGTTGTCGTGGCGGGTGGAACAGTCATGCGAGCGTCATATTTCTTGTCTCCTTGATATGGTCATGAGTCATGAACTTCGTTTGTTTCGGCCTGTCTCATCGTCGAAGTCTGCGAAGGATGCGAAGGGAGCAGCGATAGCCATGCACAGCCTTGCAAAGGTCTGCCAATCCAACCTATCGCACGGTGTGCAACGGCGACGGTGCCTTGCCTTCACTGCTTTTTTCGTGTACGTTTGTGACCTGGTGGCGTGAAATTCGTCGGCCGCCCAAGCAGAGTGCCATCCCGCCCAGGGCATGCAGAGTCGGTGCAGATAGAGTATGACCCCGACATCATCTCATACCAGGCAGGGAGAGCCAAGTGATGCCAAGTGTACATTGATTGTAATTGTAAGGCCGTTGCCGCTGACAAACAAGCTTGTTGTCCGCTCGTGCATCTCTGCCATCCATTTGTGAGTGCACATGCGTCTTGTAGACGTTTAGCGGCTAATTGCCCTGTCCAGGAGTTACTTGATGCCTTCTGGCGGAATCATAAGCCCAAGCCAAGCGAGAAGGGTACCCCGGCCAGCAAGTTCTGCATCGGCTTTCGAATGTGTTGGCATCATGAAAAGGAGCTTTGGTGTGACAGAGACTTTCGGGCATCGCAGAAGCACCCTTTGTGTTTCGTGAGCCATGGACTTTTGGGTTCATGTTTAGCTATGCTATATGCTTGGGGTCATTGAGGTTACTTCTTATGGATGCAGGGCTGCATGCTTCGAGTCTATGAGGCTGTGCTTCGGAGTTTGAGGGTTCCGCGCGATGCTGGAATGAAGCTCACAGGCAGAGGGGTTGTCGGGGAGAAGGTTTGTGCGTGTTTGTCACAAGGATAAGGGCTTCTGCCAAAAATTCGGAGGGACTACGGTCCGCTGTGCAGGCAGCAGATGTCAGTTTCCATTGAAACCGAGGTCAGTACCGATCCAGCATCTGGTACCACAGCGAGGAACAACGGTGGCTGGGCTTCTGCCCGAGAATCCTGTACCTTTGTTGGCCTCCTCCAAACTCCCTGTCACCTTGCCTGATGCTGATACTACGGCACCTACATCTTAAGTGCTTGCAGGCGTAAATTCAGGTCGTAGTGGCAAATCTGCTGGTGTCTGAGCACGAAAGTCAAAACCTCAGACCACCACATAAAGTGATAGACTCGCCTTCATTCCTGATTAATCCCTGCCGTCAAAACTTAAAACAACTTCACATCAAGCTGACTCCTACCTTGAAATAAAAGTCGATCACTCCAAGCTGTATGGTTTCTCGAGCTTGAGGCTGCTGGCCCAAGCGTCCGTCGCCGGGGGCCGTGGACGTGGCACATCACTGCTGCAGGTGCCATTTGGTGAACCCTTGGGTTGGCGCACGATTTTGAGGACGTGTGGTCTGCAAGTTGTCCAGTATTGCGAAATCGGCATGCAGGAGCATAAATGTTTAGCAGTTTAGCAACTGGCAGCCTGCAGCCTCAAGGCTTCGAAGGTCTATGCGACCCTTTTCAGACGGACTGTACTCGCAGCGGGGTATGTCAATGTGCCCCAAATGGCCAGATGCCCCGGCCAGGCGTCCGCGTTTCATGCGGCGGAGGCGCATCATCAGATGCTTGGCCGGCAGGAGCGTGACACGAGTTGTCTGTTTGTGTGTGTGTATATATATTCTCTGAAGGAAGGTTCAGATCGGCGTGGCTGTCAGCGTAAGGAAGGCGGGCGTTGCCAAAGATGCGGCTCGTCCGGAGATTCGGGAGAGCGCTTCCCGTTGCGATGCTCGGCAGAAATTCATCTCCGGTGTTGCATGGCTGCCACCCCAGGGCATCCACACAATGAGTCGGGTTCTGGTCCTTCTACACTTGCCCTGCGTGAGAACCCTCGCGTCCACAGCCCAGGGCTCGTCCTTGCTAAGAAGTAGGAGGGAAAAGATAGCCCAGCGGCAGATGTCGACAGCCAACTCCCTACTCCGACTGCGATCGTCCTGCAACGACATGCAAAGACTCCACAGGATGTCGTGGTGAGAAGCGTAGCTGAACAGACCTTAGCTACCCTCCGTTGCCACAGCTATCTTTCCTTGGGACTGCCGGATCAGGGTTTCCAGTTTCCAAGAGTTGAGTCCAGCGGTCGGCAGATCATGTGCTGTAGAGCCACTTAGCCGGGTATTATTTGTTGAGACCGTGTAGACCAATTGCCCAGGATGTGCAGTGACGGCTGCACTTTGTGAAGCCTCTGGAACCTCAGTTGCTACTGGTGTTACAGAGCCCGTGCTCTTGGAGGCTTTTGGTTTCGTCTGGTTCACTACTCGATACTCTTAGATTTGGATGAGCTGCCGGCATTGTCGCTGTCAGTTCCTCGTGCTGCAGGCCCCCCAGCAATGCAACGACTTCGTGAAGAAAGTCTTTTCGGGTTCGTGGGACGCGTGCATTCATCGTCACGTTGAGCCAGGGACATGCCTGAAGGTTAGCTGACGGGCAAGAACCAGGCGGTTTTCGAATATGGGGACCTATGGGAACATTCTGAAATTCCCTCTTGCAGCCGAGGAATGCTTTGCAAACCACTGGCTGAGACGTGTGCCGTGATGAGCTGCATCCTTTTCACATCTGTTTAAGGCCCTCCATGCGTGCCTGTAAAGTCAGGGGCTCTTCCAGAGCTTTCCGCCTGAGCGTCGGATCATCGGACCTTGATTTCCAGGCATGCCGAAGCATCAGAAAAATGAGCGAGTTGTCGGCCGGGCAGTTGCTGTCACTTCCTTCGACTGTGAACGCCGCGTCGTGCTTGTGGTACTGGTTGCCGTGGTGGGACCTGTAGGTCAACGATACGCAACCCATAGCAGACTTTTTACAATTGCAAAGGCCTGCAGGACCGCCGGAGCTCGCATTGCGCTGCCTTGTCTCTGACCCCGAGACTGTTCGCACGAAACTCCTCGCTATTATAGGGTTTAGGCTTTACGGCTCCGTGGGTTTGGGGCTTGAAGGGTTTCGGATGTATTTCATGTTTTACTTCTACTCCCCGACGGTCGGAACCTTTTGAATTGGAAGCCGCGTGACCGGCTCAGGCGACGTGCCCTCAGAGCATCATGCCGCTGAAAGGGGCCTGGATCCAAGCGAAGTGGTGTTCGTCTTCGATATGAATCTTCGGTTGGGCTTCGAGATGTCAAAGGTCCAGTTTTCTTCCGAGCCCTGCACAACGGCCAGATAACTCAACCCCCAAGGAGAAGCTTCAGGGGGGCCCGGGCCCCACCGTTCAGAGCGCAGAGAGCGACGTTGACGGCCGAGGTCGAGCTCGAAGTTGCCGAAGGCATAACGGAACATTCGAGCCGCGTGGCACTGAAAGGCGGGCCGGAGGGTTGGAATCCTGTAAAGGTCTGAGAGACTGAGAGTTTAGAGTGGGTTCTCGTGATGTTGTGCGACTGTCAAGGGTGAGGCTTGCGTCGGTTCCGGCATCTGAGGTTTACGGTAAAGTGGAAGAATCGGAGAGGAAGACTTTGCCCCCGCGGGGCTTCTCACATCAAATATGGCTTGGGGGAATTTGAGAGTTCGAGGCCGATGCCCCATGCAAAATGTACTATCACATAGACTTCAGATTTCTGTCCGAATTCTCACGGCAGCCAGCAGTAACCACTACTCGTAGACTCGTAGCTTTGCACTTTGAGTCATGCCCAGCCGAAACAAACACGGGAGCTTCGCTGATAAGCTCTCAAGCTATCCTGGCTCACGCGTGGGTGGGAGCAGTGAATAAATGCGGTAAAGCAATTGAGAGTTTCTAGATCGAGGCACAGCAATGCTGAGGATTATGTGTTTTAGGATCGAAATCGAGCCTCACCTTGGCAGAAGCTGGAACCGTAAACTGCCGTTGAAGTCCAGGAGTTTTTCAGAACTTCGGTGATGTGGTGTCATGCTGGGTCCAGATCTCAGCTACCGGCGGCTGTTTTCAAGCCCAAAGATGGCCAAAGACTAGGCTTTGTGCTGTGCAGCTGGTATTCTTCCTTTGCCTGATGTATGAGCTCGAGAGCTTCGGTATGTTGCAGCAGACTCCACTCGAGTGAGCCGCTGAGCGAGGTGCCACCAGTGGATAGACGAGGCACGGACAAGGCAGGACCAAACGAAATTCTTTTGGAACAACCGGCATCACTACGCAGCATGTGCGGTAACTGGACCGCAAGCCGCAAGACAAAGAGTCCGTCCTTGCGAGTTTCGTCGGCTTGGAATGCACGAATCCATCGACTCCCGCCACCTCACCCCCACACCACCCGGCGCCCACCTCTAATGCCTTAGGCGTTAGCTGACTTGTAACCTGGATGTATAAGAACACGTATATGGAGCTTAAAAGGACCCCAGCCACATGCCGAATTTATCAGGTCTCCAACATCCAGCAAAATCGCAAAAAATAAACACAAGCACACCAAAAGACGTGCACGCGCGGTGAGGCCTCGGTGCGCTTCGCCAACGCCCAGGCCGCCGAGGCGGCGAAGGAGGCGTGCGACGCCGGGCAGGCCAGGCGTGGGGGGCGGCCGATGGGTTTAGAGTTTTAGGGTCTACTCTGGGGTAGGGGCTTTGGGTTTAGGGTTGGGGGGGGGGAGCGAGCCTTGTGGTCGGGGAGTGGTATATGACATATAGATAGATGGATATGAGCCCTCTAAAGCCTCATGCAGGTCTTCCTGCAAGGCATGATGGTCAAGGCAAACTGGCGATCGGGAGGAGGTAGGAGAGTCCGGACCTCACTGAGGAAGTGTTCCCATTGCGAACGGACCAAGTCCCTGCAGTTTTCGAGTCTGGAAACCTGCCTGGTAATTTCAGTGGTCGCTGCCAGTTGTTGGATTTTTTTGGGGCAAGCCTGTCATGTGCAACCAGGCCTGGTAGAGGTCAAGATGTCAGCGTGCCACCGTGTAGGCTGAAGCTTTGTTCCGACTGATTCCAATTGCCAAGGTTGGCAACAGCGACCTTGGCGAGCTCAGCAAAGCCAATGATTTTGAGGACGGCGGCATGAGGCGTGGCAATTTCACAGCCTGAACATGCTTGCACGTACGCCTGTGTATGCACATGGATCGTCTTCCGACTGTCCCTCAGGCAGTTCGCGATCATGGACCGCCGACCCCCTCCGCCCCGACCACGGGAGAGCCAGCGAGAGCGCGAGCGGGACCGTGAGCGGGACCGCCCACGCCGGAAGCTAAGAAGAGCAAGCTTTGGACGACAGCAGAATGTTGCTCTTTGGCTGAAGGGGCTCCAAAGTGCTGCTTCGCGAACCCCATGGCTGATATCCAGCATGTCGCTTCCCAAGTCAAGTGTCACCTCGATGCAGCCCACCTAAGGCCGCAGTCGCTCCCGGAAAAGGCCGTCGCGAAAGGGATTCCGGGTATCGCAGCGGCTCAACCTTAAGCCCTTTCAGTGCTAAACCCTTGAGCGCTGAAGCGTGCGTGGACCTTTGCT